TCAGGCCACAGTATCACAAAACGGTGCCGACACCCCTCTTACAGTGCAACTCAACCGAGACCTCACCAAGCATCTAATGGACCACGAAGCTGTGCTCCTACTACCAGAAGTAATGAATCACCTCTACAAAATAGGTGGAAAAGGCACATTTACCAGCATCGCGCCACGAAACTGCTGGGGCATTCTCCTACCCAACATGTCTCCTACCCCTGGACAGTCAATAACGCTCGAGATCAAACCCAAGTGGTTAGCACAGTCACCGAATGCGCCTTCAGGAGCTATCCGTTGCCGAACTTGTGCGATGCAGGTCTCTGTGCCTAAGAATAGAGAAAGCTACATTTGCCCACTCCAGGTGCTCCACGGAGACTCGAAAGCCCTTCGCCCCTGGGCACATGCAACAGTTAAGCGCCACTTTGGCAGCAAATCGCCATCTCAGGTTGTGGTTTCAGCCATGGTTGAAGGCATTGTGACCTATCTTACCGTTGGAGACGGTGTTGACCTACTGCGGCATCTATTTCAATTGCAAAGTACACTTGACCCGTTGGGTGTCCTCTGTCGACCGCAGCATGGGTCAGAACTGTTTGACCATAATCTCCGGTTAGCAATGACTCTAAGGGACTGTTCGCTCTTTATCAAAATCTCCTACAACACCAGCGGCATGACAGGAATCGAATCGAAGCTCGGTGACCTTGACTTCAAATCAGCCGAGAAGATTGTCGACTGGATGGACAAGGAAAAACAGCTCTTGAACGAAGGAGCGTATTTCACATCCACAGGTCCGCCGTGTTGGATCCAAAATGGCCGATGAGCCTTGACGCCCGGATTGGCCTGGTGCTCAGTGTGGGCCAGCACTCGTATTGACGTACCGGAACCGAATTCGACCTTAACTACACCATGTGTTTTCCAAAGCAACACAGGATTACAAGAGCAGTCTTGGATATCACATACTAAATCCAGATCGAAAGCTGTCAAATGACGGTCCAGCATGAAGCAAGCATCTGTAACGAACACCGCAATGAAGAGGACATTGCACATCACTCATCCATATCGGACGTCATCCACGACGCGTTCTTTCGATAACAGCCAGACAACCACCCACACAGAACAAACCAAGAGTATTCGACAAGCAGCTTATTCATCGAAGCAAGAGCACGACAAAGAGCTCGTGTCCAGGCAGAAGAACCCAGCGCAAATATGTATCATAGTGTGCTGTTCAAAAGAGGTGAACAACGCAATGAAATGAGGAAGAGAAGAAAAGGGAGGAAGGATAAGAGTTGTTGTATACCACTAGTGAAGGAAAGGGGGGGGGGGGGGGGAAGTGACATAGAGAGAGTAACGTTTTGAGGCGCAACCATGAATTAGACTACGCGTAATTTGTTGCACAGTAATACATTGGTATTGAAAATCAAACTTCTTTTTTTTGTTACCTTCACTTTTGGACACTGACTCCACATAATTCGCTCATGTACACAATTCTACCACACAATCACCGTCATAAGACATAACTGCACCGTTCATCTTTTTTGCGTTGAACGAAAAATCTTGATTCGAAGAGAAGAAAAAGAAGAGTAGATAGCATGACCAAAAATGTCCTACTAATTGGGGGGTATAAAATCCTAACGCGCCAATTTCCTTTCCCTAGAACCCACCCCTCGAAGACAGAAAACAAAAAAATAACAAGGGCGACAAGAAGGTACAAGTCTCGTCAAATCCATCCATACATACATCCATGCATGGTCGCTAAAAAGATAACCAAAACCCCCATATCAGAAAAACCCGTGAAGAGCCGCCATCAAACTAAAAAAAAAAAAACAACGCCGTGGCTAAACGCAACAAAATAAAAGACGTCAATCCCATGCATCAAATCATGCTCAAACACACGCCTGATCCCCAACAAAACAATGCACCCTAACCGTCCCATCCTCACTCCCACTAACCACACTCTCGTCACTCAACCCCACACAGGTAATGGGTCCCGTATGCCCCGTAAGCGTTCTCTCATGCTTGCCCGTTCTGGGGTCCCAAATCTTAATCGTCTTATCCTCAGCCCCACTAACCAAGCGTAGAGAATCCGCAGCAAGCGACCAGATGCCCTCTACATGGCCGAAAAAGCGGTGGACGCAGCGGCCAGAAGGGACGTGCCAGAGGCGAATAGTGCCGTCGAGGGAGCCGGTGAGCATGTACGAGGGAGGGGCAGGGCGGGTAGGGTCGTCTGGGAAGAAGAGGGAGTCGTCGGCGGGTGTTTGAGACGACGAGGAGGTGTTGGAAGAGGAGGAGGGAAGGGGGAGGGGAAGGGAGTGCGGCATGTCGGAGGACAGGGATGCGGTGTCCGAGCTGTCGTTGTTTGCGTTTGCGATGAAGTCATTTTCGTCGATTTCAAAAGCGAGGGGTAAGGGTAGGACTTGTTGGACTTGGCCGACGTGGCCTTCGTAGGTGCGTATGCAGCGGTGCGTGTCGAGGTCCCAGAGTTTGACGGTCATGTCGTCCGAGGCGGAGAGCAGGGTGCGGGAGGGGAGGTCGATTTTGACCGAGTTGACCCAGTCAGTGTGGCCGACGAGGGTGGTGCGTTTCATTTGGGTGAAGTCATGTACCACGATGGTGTTGTCTGAAGATCCGGATGCCAGAAGCTTGCCGGCCATGTGGAGGCCGATGACGCCCTGGCTGTGGGCGTTTAGGGTTTTGATTAATGCACCTGTCCGCCAATTCCATATCTTGATGGTGTTGTCCAGACTTCCAGTGATGAGTTTGCTGTCTTCAAACTGTAGAGACCGGATGCCTTGAGAATGGCCAGTGAGTGTGCGTATCACCTGGCCAGTCTTGAGATCCCATACCTTGACGGTTGCGTCATAGGAGCCGGTGATGAGAACCTCGTCGTCAAATTGTAAGCACATGACGCCATTGGTGTGTCCTTTTAGTATGCGTGTTGAGTAACGGCCGTATTTCCAGTTGCTGCCAACCTTGTAGCGGTCCTTATAGATGTCCTTCCACGGACGTTTCTTGGGATGATCGAAAGAGGATGTAAGCTGGTCTTGGTCAGGCGCAGCGTTGAGACATTTTCGCTTGCTTGAGGCTTCTGGAGAGGATGAATCGTCTGGTACAGACCGCTTGACTGCTGTAGGGGAGCCAGGAACGTCGGAAAGTTGGTGAGAAAGTGAAGTGGGAGGGGCAAGGGAATCAGGCTGAGGTGTGATATTGGGCGACCATTCGTTCAGTCCTCGGCCTGAAGCCCGAAGTTGTATCCGCCTCTTTTCTTGCCGCAAGCGACGTTGGTCTAGCAGTGGAAGTCCCCAACCGCACTTTGTGCACTTTCTGTCAATGTGCTGTTCGCACATTCTATGCCAGACAACGTCATCGTCTGCCAGTTGTCTCCACCTTCGGTTGACTTGAGCTGCTTTGCATAGTGAAGTTGTGTCAAGATAGCACAGAATTTTGAAGCCCAGTTCGGTGGGGAGGGCGCCGAGAAAGTCAATCTTGATAAGGTTGCGGACTGAAGAGGAGATGAAGGAGAGTTGTGGGAAGCAACACTGGGCGAGGATGCCTTGGAGCATGAGGTTGCGGTGTCGAGAAGGGGCAGCAGAAAAGAGCGACCATACGTTGGCGATGCTCTGCTGGTCGCCCTGAGATTCTCTGCCAAGTTCCTATCCAAGTTAGCAAGCGGTTTGGCAACGGCAAGAGGACACTTACGTCCTGCAGTTGTTCCATGGAGGGCTCGTCTGCCTGGCGTCGGCAGAGCAAGTCTGGTCTGTGGCGGTAGCAAAACTTTGTGTTTGCAGTGGGTGGGCGTTCGTCTTGTCTGCCGCCAGTGGCACCCAGCGGGTTGTATTGGTGTGGAATGTGCTGTGCGAGATATGGCGTGATCATCTTTTCAATCTTCTTGGACTTGTTTGCCTGGGCCTCTTCGGAGTCTTCGGGGTTGGCGTGCAAGTGCCTGGTCCGCTCTGAGAGGCCTTCGTGGTCGTGGCCGTGCATTAAAGCGGCGTGAGGGAGGGCAGAGGGCTTTGCGGAGAAGTCGTCAGGAGAGTGGGCTGGGTTTCGCCATGAGAGGCGTCTCTGCTTGGGACTTGTAGTCGAGGGTTGCAGCGGAGTATGTTCGGCGACCGTCTCAATGGTATGGGTGGCATTGGGCGCCATGGTTGCGTGCTCGAGAGACCAAAGACTTTAAACAGCTACAGCAAGTATCGGCTGGCGGGCTGCACGGATGCTTCCCCTAGTGCTTGGACAAGGGCACTGGCCCTCTAGAATGCGCAATTCATACGTCGGGCAGGCGATGCAGCGGGCTGTCGAGATTCTGGGGTAATATCGCGTGCGAGCTAAGGTGGAAGTTTGATGATGGATGACCCGGACGGATGCTGCCAGAGAAAGAGACTCTGCGCGCACAAAACGAGGCGGAGATGCGGCTGTGAAAACAGGGGATCCGTGTCGAAGTAGAGAGCGGTTTGCGAAAAGATAGCTCCGGCCGGCTGCGAAGGGGTGTGGTATCAGGCGGGCGTGGGGGTTGGTTGAAGGCGTCGTCGGAGAGAGCAGCGGCAAAGCGACCATGGCGCAATGGCGCAATGTCAGTTGTGGATAACACCTTCGAAGCACGCAATTCCAGTTGGCCACCCGGGCCAGAAAGCAGGGCCAGCACATGTCGGGGGGCCAGGCGGATGCAGACGCCAAGTGCGAATGTCGCGCAGACTGTCTTCTCTGCTCTGCGACGACGCTTTGCCATGCTGCTTGTGGGTTCTGTCGTCGCCGTCGCGTCAGCCTTAAGGTGGGTGGGCTATGCGGGCCTTGTATGCATCTCTCCGCAATTGGACCCTGGTTGAGCCTGCCTTGTACTACCTACTAGCCCGAGCGTACCACCGTCATCCATCCATCCATCCTCGCCTCCCTCTCTCCTCGGATGCCTCCCAGCCTGCTCATAATGTTTGGCGACAAAAAGCATCGCCGTGACCTCGTATTTGCTGTAGCCTGAAGACTGCCAGAAATGCCCTGCGCCTTCGCTTCATGACATCGCCATGGCTTCTCCCCAATCGCCCGCGTCTCCAACTAGCAGCGCCGCGTCGAGAGCATCCTTGGACCACGACAACAACCACTCCCTCACCCTCGAGCATCTTGTAACCCATTTTGTTGCTGCTAAGCGCGCACTTAACACCCAGACAGTCCTATGGCGTGCCACCGACATTGTCAGCACCGCACGCGAGCTGCTCGAGGAGAATGCCGTCCTCGCAGCCAAGAACACTTCGATCCGTAATATAGTAGAGCAGCAGGTCGATGCCTTGGAAGCTGTGCGCCGCGGTGTTGACGTAGTCGAGGCCGAAGTGCAGACTGAGTTTAAGCAGATTCTGCATCACGTCGACACATCCTTTGCCGGCCTCAACTCTACCCTTGCCGTCTTGCGCGAGACTCCCATCGAAGCCGTCCTGCAGCCTCATGGGACCCCTCAGAAGCACCTCTACGACTTCATCGACAGTGCCACCGTCTCCAACCTCGAGAGCACCCTGCGCGCCTGCATAGACCGGTACAACGAGGCACATGCTACGCTCGACGAGAGCTGCGATGCCTTTGATACCTCGCTCGATAATCTCTACTCGTCCATCGACAATGTTCCCATGACGCCTGCTACCGTATCAACCCCGAGCCCAATACCGAGCCTATACCACAATCTCGAAGGACACGCCAAAGAGGCTGCTCAGGCCTTCCAGTCCCTGGTTCAGCACTATGATCTGTGCATTACAGCCTTGCGACACACCGAGGGTGGATCTGCCGCTGCCACACAAGCCACGGGCGATGCGCCTGTGCACTCTGCTGACGACGGAGCAGCGCCTCCCGAGCCCATGAGTGAAGAAGAACGGCGTGACATGCTCAACGTCTTACAAAAGGACGCCCGCCAAGTCGACGATGTGGTGGCTGAGATTCAAGAGAGAGGCTCGGAAATGACGTTCTTGCTTAGCCAGATTGAGAACCATGTCAACCACCTCCGCAGCGAGGCGTCGGCTCTGTCAAGTATACTGCAAATGATATCGCACATTACAAACGAGGTCAAACGACACATTGCCACCTCGCGCGCCTTCCACGTCTCGTGGCTCCAAGATACCCGTCCCAACCTGCTCAACGGCATCGACGAATGGGAGAATCAACGAGAATTCTACGAACGCTTTGACCTGGCATATGCTGAGCTTCTGGTAGAGATATCATCGCGAAGGAGACGGCATGAAAAGGCCAAGCGCAAGGCCGAAGAGGCGCAGAAAGAGCTGGATAAGCTGCGTTTGGAGGATGAGCGCGCAAGAGAACAGTTTACCCTGGCTCAAGGAGATTTTCTGCCCCTCGATATATGGCCGGGGCTGAGGGATCCGCCAAGGCAGTACGAAGTCAGAGTCGTCCCTGTTGCTGTGGAAACCCAGGACGACAACGTGCAGGGAGCAGATGAGTGGGGTGAGGGCGGTGGAATTCAGAGTATCCCGCAGTTGGGCAGAAACGTCGTTGAGAGGGCGCTGATGAGGGTGAAGAGACGGATGTGAAGATGCGAAGTTTTATTCATTGCAGCCCCAAGCATACGGCGGCACAGATATCAAAATGCGCTAGTTATGGTCGCACAAAAATGCAAACATCGTTAGGACTCAGGCCCCTTTTATAATACCATACCGTACCAGTCGTCGTCTCGTTCGCTTAATAAGGAAAGAAAAGAAATGAGAGCAGCAACCTCATCCACTGTTCCATGGCTATGACTCAATTAGCCCCAGCATGGTCGGGCTTGCGGCCGTGGACAAAGTAGAATTTAATGTACATGTGTACATTCTTATTCCTAACGTCGGATACGACACGGGCAATCATGACACGGCACTCCTCTTCGGACCAGCCGGCTACTTTGCCCAAGAGGCCCAACGTATAGGGCTCTACGCCTATGGACATGTGTTCACGCTGATAGCGGCCAATTTCCTTCATGCGCGCATCCCTGGCCCAGGGTCCGATTGGGATCTGGTTTGAAGTGTGTTAGCATCATACACAGTGGGCAGCGACCAAAAAAAATCAGATATTTTACCTTGACAATCTTCTCATGAACATCGACAAATCCCGCATCTAGCATTTGCTGCTTGATGCATATGCCCGCACGAATATCTCTCCCCCATTCGGCAGCGGCGTTATGACACAATGTCTGCCACTGCAAAAAATCCTTTGCCATATCTATGGTACCATCATCGCAGTCGGCCTGCGCTAGCGGCTCCTGGAACTCGACCCAGCCACCCGGTTTAGTGTGGGTAAACGCCTGGCGCACGAACTTGCTCCAGTCGGAGATGCTGCCAGACATGTTACGGCAGTGGATGTAGTCAAAGGCCTCTGCGGGGCTATAGACCCACTCGGCCTCGACATCGTCAATGTAAAACTTGACGTTTGGAGGGACCCATGTTGGCTGGATGGGACTGAGGTCGGTCCCGATTACTTCGGCGCCAGGGAACTCGTCGGCAAAGTCGATGGCCCAGATTCCGGTTCCAGTGCCAATATCGAGCACGCGCTGGGGAGAGGGTGAAATGGGTGCGTCGTAGAGCTTGCCTTGGAGGATGAGCAGGAAAACGTGGTGCTGTAGGTCGAGCCGGTCTTGCTCTTGCTCGTCGTTGGGCAGGATGTAGGCGCCCGAGCGGTATCCGTGGTAGCGACGGCCGTTTGAGTATTCGTAGTTGAGGATAGTCGAGGCGAGCGATGTGGAGGCGGAGGATTCGCCGTCAAATCCAGAGTCGTCGTCGCTGCTATTGGCGGCCGTGTCTACATCGAGGTGGAGGACTGGCTGGAGGTTGCCAACATCGGCCTGTGGTGCTGTGGTGGTGATGGTAGCTGGTTGTTGTTGTTGTTGTTGTTGTTGTTGTTGTTGTTGCGCGGGCTGTGGTTGTGATGATGTTGCTGGTGGGGATGCCTGTGGCGGCCCGCTCGCGCTGGTGGGGGCAGCCGACATGTCGTGTATCCTCAGACCAGGTAGTGAGTATGATGTGCGGGACGACAGAACTCAATTCAACCCAAGCCGTGGACAGCGACCGGCCTTATAGGACCAACGAGACGCAGCGCGCCTAGGCCACAGCAAGCGGATCCATCATGCCATGTTACTGCTCACAGTGTGTGTGTGTGTGGGAGGCGTGCATTGGCGTCTCGTGGCTCCAGGGCCATTGTTCGCTGCCACCCCCTGTCCAACCCACAGCCCGCTAGTAACAACTACTCCATCTCAGCTTTTAGCCTGCACAACCTCCGTCTTACGATGTGGGGCGGTTGCCCATCCACCCACCGATTATCTGTATTTTCTTGTCCCTTCTCGTCTAACGCTGCGGCGCGGTTGCCCATCATCCACTTGTCATCTGTGTTCTTCTGTCTCCTCTCGTCTTCCTGCTGCCAGAGTGGGCTTCAATCCGTCAGATTACCCGTCTGACAATGGACCCCTACCCATCCGTCATGCATGCATGCCGTGTATCCACTTGCCTACTCTACACGGCCATAGCCCCGTAGCACAATGTACATAGTCAAAAAGATCACAATTCCCTGTCCTCTACCCGTTCATTCCTGTCCCGACACATGCTTCAACCTGGTTGTCCCTTGACCCTAGCAGTCAGCCCGCCATGACATCTCAGACCAACGCGTACACCGCGCGAGTGCTTCCTTCTGTACCGCTCCTTTGCTTCGCTGCGTACCTTGCCTATCTGATTGCACGTGCCTTTTACCGCCTCTATCTCCATCCACTAGCCAAGTTTCCGGGGCCTAAGATCGCGGCTGTCACAAGCTTCTACGAAGGCTACTACGAGATAGTTCTCAAAGGACAATACTCGAAGCAGATATCCAAACTCCACGACCAATACGGTACGCTGCAACTTGGCCACCAACACTTTGCCTCCCCGCATGGACTGGCTACATGCGACTGTCGTTGGTTCGCTTGACTTACCCAAGCCTGGCAGGCCCCATTATTCGAGTAACACCCGACGAGCTGCATATCCGAGACTCACGATTCTTCGACCAACTCTATCCCAAGAACGTCCATCTCGACAAGGAAGGATGGGACAAGCGATTTGGCGTCGCCGACGGTGTGCTGGCCACGGTAAACGCCGAAGCACATAAGCGGCGACGTGCCGCATTGGCCCCCATGTATGTCGTGCATATGTTCCTTGCTGGATCATATGATATTAGTCTACTATTACCGAAGATAACGTTCAACTGATACCTCTTTGTAGGTTCTCACGTCGTTCCATTCTCGACTTTGTCCACATCATCTACCGCCATGTTGACACGCTTGCTTATCGCATGCAAGAGTTTGAGGAGCGTGCAGAGCCGCTCAATCTCACCCATGCCTTTCCCGCCCTGACTGGCGACACCATCATGGACTACTTTTTCGGCTTCAACTACAACCACCTCAAGAATCCTCAATTCGAGTCCTTCCATGACGCTTTTATCAAGATTTCCGGCATGGGCCATCTCGCTAAGCAATTCCCCATGATCCTTCCTGTACGTCTCTATGTTTAGATTGCTCAAAATATCCATGTGGCAATCCCTTGTGGACCCCCTCCCCCCCCCGGTCCCACTCCGTTGACGACACGACACGGCATACACTAACCAGGGCCCTTTACACAGATCATGGACGCCATCCCTGATCAAATCACCGGGTGGCTGCAGCCTGCTGCAAAACCCATCCTAAAATTCAAGCAGGTACGTGGCACACACATACACACATCCTTACATCACTCCATCCCCCCAGCTCCTCGGAGACCCCTCTTCCCCAATTCTCCGCTCCAGTAAATTTAGTCTATGCCTTTACATACTCCCACACGTACTAACTACTAACCCTCGTGGGGGTATACAGGACCACCGCGCCCTAATCACCCGCACCCTCCGCGGCGAAGACCTCAAATCCAACGACGCCAAAAAAACCATCTTCCAAGAAATCCTCGACTCCAAACTACCTCCTCAAGATAAATCCCACCGGCGACTCGCAGAAGAGGCCCAAGTCATTCTCGGCGGCGGCGTCGAAACAACAGCCTTCTCCCTCGCCGTAGCCGCCTTCCACATCATCAACACACCGCACATATACCACCGCCTCCATACAGACCTCGTCGCCGCCTTCCCCAACAAGAACGACCTGGACCTAGCCGTGCTGGAGAAAATGCCCTATTTGAAAGCTGTAATCATGGAAGCCATACGCCTATCCTACGGCATCTCATCCAGGAACCCCAGGACCCACAAGACCCCCTTGCATTACAAAGACTGGGTTATACCCCCAAATACCTGTGTTGTACGTTTAGTTCCCCCCTTCCCCCTTTTAACAATCTCATCTCGATTATATTCCTTACCAATGTACCGGCGTGCCAATATCCCATGTGTTTTTTTTTGTCGGGCTGACGCGCAGGAATCACAACTAAGTCAATGACCATATCCGATTCCTCGCACGATCCCGCCATCTTCCCAGACTCCACCGCTTTCATGCCAGAGCGCTGGCTCGCCGATCCCCGCACCCAGGATGGACTGCCGTTGGATCGCTTCTTGGTGTGTTTTGGGCGCGGCACAAGAGCCTGCTTGGGCATTACCATGGCCTGGACGGAAATGTATCTCGTCCTCGGTATGATGTTTCGCCGGTACAAGTATGACTTGTTTGAGAGCAGTGTGGCGGATGTCGAGGTTGGGCATGATTTTTTGATTCCCGTTCCGAGTCTAGAGAGTAAGGGGTTGAGGGTTTTTGTTAAGAGTGTGGATGATTAAGTAAGGGAGGGGGGAGGGGGAGTGATTGTTGTTCGGATTGTGGTGGAAGCGTAGTAATCGTGAAGTATACCATCAAGTAGCAAGTTGCAACGCAGATTGTTGGCTGAAAAGTAAACAGAGGTCTTGGATATGGAATATATTTTTTTTACAACAAGTCTTACGCTAAGTTGACATACTCCATGGTTGAAAGCCTTTTTTTTTAATCAGATGCTCCAAATGCACTTGCCTACATGCTTATATTCGTCAAACTTACCTACCTCATCGTGAACTATTACTTATAGTAGGTGGACTGACTGTCCCATATCCTACTTGAAGATCAAGTCTCTAAAATGCTGCTCCACATTATACTATTTCCGCATCTCGCCTATATGATCTCATCATATCGTCCACAGAGTGTTGATCTGCTTTCTCCTCACCTACAAACTCTGTTAGCAACACTATTCATCTCCATGTATATGAACAAAGAAAAAGAAATACTCACCAAAGGCGCAACAAACAAAACACCAACAAACAATCCCACAACAGTCAACAACATGGAAATCTTGTTGAATCCCTTGCCTAGCACGTCAAACGCAAAACTAGGGGCAACCCTTGTTCCGAAAATGTCATGGCCATATGCAAATACCAGACTGGTACTTTCAAGTCCGCTTTCACTGGTGATGATGTCCTTGATACCAATCACCTCGTACTTGTGGGTAAGGTGCCACTTGGGATCAAAGTTGATAAGAGGCGCGTACTTGGCTAGACCCTCGGATTGTTCTTGTGCGGTAGGGTCGCGGCCGATGGGTCGACGGGGATCGATGACAGAGCGAGGAATACCGATGATGGAGTTGATGGAGGGGACGGTGATGAGAAGCTCGCGGCTGGTGATGCCCTGCTTGGTTTGTGTCACAGCCATGTGCGAGATTTCTGCTGGAACCTGGTAGCTTTGGGATATGACATACGGTCGTATAGCATCGCCGGCTGCATTCGAGGGCTGTACTGTCGACGAGTTGGAGGAGGCGCCAAGTGGACCTCTGTCATCGGGGAGCGGAGACTCGTAAAGGTCAGAGACAACCAGCTGATAACCACGTGAAGCCGAACCCGAATCCGCGTCAATGGTCAGCGCATATGTGAACCAATTCTCCGAAATGGTGGCCGGAATGGGCCGAGAAGTGTCGACTCCGTTATGCGATACGGTGTGCAACAATTGTCCCGAGGCAGAGTCGAGCAAGTAAACAGATGCAGATCGTGTCGAGTCGACAACTGTCGTGACCAAAACTAGGTTGGGGTTAAGGTACTTGTACAGCACTCTTCGGTCGCCGAGTACCTTGCCAATGGAGGCAACGGGATCTTTGACAGGCCGAGCAACATAGTTGACGATCCGCTCCTCGCCGGCAGGACAGAAACTCCACACTGGCTCCGAACTGGGCTGATTCTGTAGATAGCCTCTCAGTGTTCCATCTACAAACGTAAATGCCACAAGGGTTTGTCCCTCGGAGACCAACCGAGTTTCAAGCTTGACATTGGCGGGCGAAACAAGGCTGCCTGTGGTAGAGTTGATGACCAGTGACTTCTCGGACACAGCATCCTTGACTTGGACATAGCCGCTATGGGCCTTGAGCCGAGGATGTTGAAAGTCGCTGATAGGTGCGAGCTTGCCAAGATCAACATTCCACATAATCTTGCCTCGTGAGCCAACGTCAAGTGCAGCAAGACGTCCGGTATCAGTGGCAACAACGACGAGTTTGTGGAACCCAAACGTGTCTTGCTGGATTTCGCCGATTGTCGTCTCTTTTGTCTGTCCAAGGACGCTACCAAGCAGTCGCTGGGGTATTGCCTGCGCCCAGGCTGGAAAATGCTTCAAGTCTTGAATGTGTCTTTGCACACGGTGCATGTAAGCCGAGACAAGGTTGCGATGACTTTCGTCTGCAAGTGCTTGCGCTAGGGCCTCTTGTTCAGGAAGGTCAGCCCATACCGCAGAGACGGTCCGTGCGAGAAACTCTGGTCTTGTCCAAGCCAAGTCGTCATTTCGGAGAAGAGCCCACTGCCCGTTAGAATAAAGGACCGATGATCTGATGGCGCTTGCAGTGGCATCTCGTACGACAACCTCGGATTGCGCATGAACAGGGTGGGCACCGGCAAGTGCGGGCGAGCTCTTGACGCTCCAGCGTCCCAAGAGGTCGTTTGAGACGGATGAAAAGACCATCATTTCTTCTTGTGTAATCCTTGTAAAGTATACGTTTGCGTCTGACGTGCTCGTGGAAAAAGTTCCTTTTGTCGTAAGCTCTGGCAGGGCGTAGGCCCTGGAGACGGTGTTCTTCTTTAGGTCGACGTGGAACACCTCGGCCAAGTGGCCGACGGCTGTTTGGTACTCGACGAGGAAGTGGGCACGAGAGTTTACATGGCTAGGAGCGTGAAGTACAATGCTCTCCACGACGACATTGTCTGGGGTTGGGAAGCTGGATACAGCCTTTGTGCCTATGATGTTCACCTTTAGGACCTTGTTCGCCTTGTCGGTCCACACCAGCAGCGGGGCAGCGGTGTTGGCTCCTGCAAACAGGATACGGTCACGCGAGGATATTTCGGCGTCGGAGTTGAGAGTGTACTGGTCGAGTTTCTTGCCGGTTATGGGGCTGAGCGAGGTGATTCGCAGCTTGGACGCACCGAGCACAGGCGTGTGGAGGGCAATATAGTAGATTGTGGTTGGCGAGGTCGAGAGCTGGAATGGCGTGTCTCCGCTGTCATTGAGTTAGTTGGTTTCCTTTTTTGGGGGGGAAGCAAACAATGGCATTGCCCACCTTGTATCCTCGTGTGTCCACTTGGGCTGGCCAGTCTTTCCATCAAGCCTCTTGACACTGAGACTGGCGTCGGCGGCCAGTAAGACGAGGACGTCTTTGGCTGCATCAATTGACATGCCATCCTCCTGCTCGAGTATCTCGAGATCTTCAACGCGGGCAGCGGGGGTGGCGGTGTCCCAGACGAGGCGGCCGTCGGAGGCACTCCACGCGACGACGCGCTGGCCGAGGGCGCTGATGACGGTGTCTTGCTCGTTGCCGGCACGCAGATGGGCGACGTCGTCAGCAGCAGCAGCTGCGGGGAGGGGATGGCGCCATACTAGAGCGCCGTCCTTTGGATTGATTGCGGCGACGGTGTTATTGTCGGATAGCGAGTAGAGCAGCGAGGCCTTTGAGCCAGGGTAGGGCTTTTGGAAGAAGGTGGCATCATGCTTGGGGAGGCCTAGCAGGGCATAGTGGAAGTCAATGTGATGGGCTTCGTCCTCGAAGACAGCTGCGGCCGGGGCGAGGCATGCTGCGAGGGCGAGGGCAGCATGGAGACGCATTGTATGGTGGGGTAGCAGCGCAGCTGGTCGAGGTTGGATCCGCTGCGGTCAGCGTACGGTACGGGCAGGATGGGCATCACGTAATCAGGGCGAAGGCACGTGCGCAGGGGCCTGCTGCGGAAGCATTCCTTGATTCATTCGTTCAATCAATCAATCAAACAAGCAGCCATTGATTGACGGGTTGGGGAGGGTAGTCAGGCAGTCGATCAGTCCGTCAGTCAGCCCAGCCAGTCGGTCGGTCAGCAGCGGCAGGCAGTCCCCGTAGGTATTTGTCGTGCTGGTGCCGGTGCCGGTGCCCGTGCTGGTGCTGGCGCTGGTCGTGGTGGCAGCCAAAGTCAATTTGCAGGCGAGCAGAGGGGCCAGCGGGGGGTGGAATGGGCGTGGGCGACTGTCGACGGCGGTGCGAGTGGTGTGCGTACATAGTACAGTAGTCGGGCGTGTGGCAGAGCATCTGGGTTGGGCCTTGTCGGCTTCGACGCTAGAAGCGCATCCACGGCGTCAGGTCGATTGTTCCGGCGGCGGCACCACGCGAGCTCCACCGCTATGGCTTCGGAGCCCAAGTCCGTGTTGGCACCAGGGGCCGGCACCGCCTTGGGTTCGCAGTTCGCAGCCTCGCCAGCCATGCTGGCTTTGGTGGTGCTTGTGGGTTTGCTGCACACTGCCGCGCATGCTTGGGGCACACGTGCAGATACATGCTTGTGTATACACATCCACACATGGACACGTACCAGACACATGCACATCCAACATGCGCACACACACGCCCACATAGACACAACAACCCAGCCGTTGCAACGGGCGCCGGCGTGTCAAGCCGGCGTGGCAGACCGGGGGGCCATGGGGGGAGGGGAGGCATCTTGGGTGCTGAGCGTGGTCAATGGGCCTGTGTCCCGCCAGGCCGGGTCGGTTTCGCGGCTGGCTCCCTGACGGCCACAGCTTTATCACGGTGATGGGATTGCTTTTGTCGTGCCCATCCCCCTCGACGCTCCCCAAACCGCCCAACCGCCGCTTCACTTATCACCACCCTGGATCCCCTCGCACCAAACCACCCCCACCCCGCAGCTCCCAACCTCGCCCGCCTCGCCCGGCCCTTTGTTTCTGTTCTGGCTGCTCCGCGGCCTGGACGCTGCACCCACACGGCCTGCACCCCAGAGCCGAGCGCACGGCAGCCTCGCTGGCAACCGACGCCGCCACGCACCACGTTATCCGCCATATCTTCTGCTAAGCCCTAGCCAGCCTGCTGCGTCTGCGTCTGCGTCTGCGTCTGCCTCTGCTGCATCCATGTCCCCTTGGTCCCTCCGTCCTAATCATCCTCGCTGTTCCCCAGTTGTCGCTGCTGCTCCGTCCTGCCTGTCCTGCTCTCTGCTGCTATCCTTATCCTGTCCGCCGCCCCCGTCCTGCACGTGACTTGCAGACAAGCACAAGCAAAAAAAAATCTCTGCCCCCCCCAAAGGCCCAGCCTCGCGCATTGCCCATGTGAGTTACACAAACTTTCCGGACCACCTGCATGCCGTCCAGTCGCCTCAATGGCTTGTTGACGCGAGTATTCGAGGCTGCTTTTGTCTGATTGGACGCCACCTGGGTTTAGCAATACATGCGCTGACAAGTGTGGTTGGCTCCCAGCCCAGTACAACGCGCGCACCGCCCCGACTCAGATCGCTGGTACACGCCCACGCCG